GAGAGAGAGAGAGAGAGAGAGAGAGAGAGAGAGAGAGAGAGAGAGAGAGAGAGAGAGAGGAGTGATACAAGATTGGTTGTGCGGTTCAAGGAGGAAAGTGGCGGCCATAGCCACTGCGCTCGAACACGGAGAGGAAGACGAAGGAGGAGACTTGGAGTGAGCAAGAAGACCAAGTAAGGAAGAAAGGAAGTGAAGGAGGAAGCAGAGACGAGGGAGGAGAGAGAAGCTATAGCCGGGGTGAAGATGAAGAGAGAAAGGAGGGAAGAGAGAAGGAGGAAGGTGAAGGTTGGTGAAGGAGAAGGGGGTCAGCAGCCATAGCCGAACTTGAAGAGTTGACCGGAGCGTTGACCGAGGTGTTGACCAGAGCATTGACTGAGGTGTTGACCGACGTTGACCGAGGCGTTGACTAGCATTGACTGGAGCTGTTGACCACGAAGTTGACCAAGCTGGAGTTGGTATAATTTCCCCAAGCCTTCAGCTATTCCCTCGCCCTATGGATGTGCACTCACCCCATCATCGGTCGCCATGGTACTTGCTAAGTCTGTCTGTCTCTTCTTTCTGCATCGAGCCTCTTCTGTCTTGGTGATAGGAACTCCGTGTATGTGGTCATATAGCTGCGTTGACCAAACCCACACGGGCTGAGTAGGGCTGCTGTCCATGTCTGACAACTGACACGTCCCGGAGGCCTAACCCTCCCAAGGACCGGTACAGACCGGCGGGCTGCTCAGTGTGGCATGGTTGGCCCAAAATCCGAGTTGTGGGCTGCACAACCGGCTGTCTAAGTCTTGAGATGACTTGCTGATCACGTCGTCCTGTCTACGACGTTAAAGAATTCCTGAGGAGTTGTGGGGGATCTCCCCTTCTGATCAGCAGCGAAGTCTTGTACTGACAGCCATAGCCATAGGTCTAGCCTAAAGACCCTAGTTGATAGGGTTTTGAACCGGAGTGAAAGCCAGGTGGGTTGACCGCAGGTGCAGGGCATCTCGGTCGAGGATTGTAACGGACAGTGGTTGCGAAAGCTTCCATCGGTCGTGGTAACCTGTGGCTGGAACAAAGGGGAGGACTCTGTGGTCCATAGAGAGTCGGTCAGTTAGTCAGTCAGTCAGTGGGTGGAAGTCTAAGTGGTGAGGAGTGGAACTGTCACTTGGTTGTGCACCTTTCACCATGGTGGACCTGCGAAGCGGTACGAGCACCACCCCCGTATGCTAAGGCTCAGGAAGAGCAAGCCGCCGCCTTGTTAAAAGAGAGAAAAGAAAAAGAGGCGGAGAGGGAGTTGATTAAGCAGGCCAAGAAGTTGGCCTTATTGAAGGAGCAGGCAGCGAAGAAGAAGCAGTCGGAGGAGGAAATGGAGAGATTGAAGAAAAAAGAAGAAGAGAAGCTAAAGGCAGTAAAAAAAGAAGAAGTAGAGGAAGAAGACCCCTGGAAAGAAACGTCAGAAGGGAAAGAGGGGAGTCGAGCGACACGAAGAAAGAGGATCAGTGGATGGAGAAGAAGGTGTCAGAGTGGGTCGCTAACCTGTCCCTGGGAGAAGAAGAAGAAGCGATGTTGCATGTCCCCAGGGCAAAACAGGAGGCGGTGATGGGGGAGTTGCAGGCGAAGGAAAATCCCCTACGCCGCCAGACAATGGAAGAAGAAAAAACGTTGGAGTAGAAATTGCGCCTCACAAGAGAGAAGAGGCAACGATTGGAGGCGACAAATAAAATGGAGGAGGAGTTGAGGGTGGTGGACGAGTAGAGAACGCAGATGGAAAGCTAGGCAGATCTCCAACGGAAAATAGAAATCCTGGCCCGGAACATAGAAGTCTTGGCAAAGGCCCAACAAGAACAATTTCAGTTTGTCAGGGGCCAGG